TAACTTCATTAGCTCTTACAACTCATGCCATGGTAGAATACTCTACCCTGTGAATCAAGTATGCAGGATACAAAATAGCTATGTAGTACTGGACTAAAATATGAGCCTATAAGTGATTCAGTTGCTTGCAATAGTGACCAATGCTATCTCAGTATCTAGGAAGCATGCAGTGCACACAAAGCAAAAGTTTAAAGCTGAGGAAGTGAGTGGGGGTCAATACCAGTGAACATCAACCAAGCGGAAATAGGCATAATGGAAACTTTGTACACATCATCTAGCCTTGATGTACTAGTTGACATGGTCACCCAACTTGCTCTACTTGTGAGGGTCTAGTGACTAGTCAGATCGCATATAGTTCGTATATTGAACCAACCACGGATATAAATGACTGGCCAATCATGGAAATTAAGTAAACTAAACGCCGCGCAGAAAAGAAGCATCGCATCGCATCACAGAAGAGGTGCACAGCCAAGAATAAAACGGCATTCAAGAAGATTGCGGAAATGAGAGATATAAGAGCATACCAAAAATTAATGCAGATTGATGCAGGAGAAGCTTGAGAACCAGCAGTAACAGAATGGTGATATTGCACAGTATTGGTTGCTAAAACAGACCCAAGATGAAGAGCAATTGAGAGGAAAGTGACGGCAAACGAAGACAAAAAGTTAGCCAGGAACAAGAGTGAGTAATAGATCACAGGCCGGATGCTTTGACCTTCCAAATATATCGAAAAATCTCCTTATTGGGACAACCCGATTGGGAAAAGGACAGCCTAAAACGGTCCAGATTCCCACGGGAAACCGGCCATAAGGACGAGCCTTCATTTCATTCAGGACTCGTAAAAGATCTAAGTTCTTGCCATGCAGTGTATAAGTAAGCAAACTTGAATGTACCCTCAGAAGTGCGCGAGACAAACAACTGAGGGCTGATTGACCACACGTCCGATATATATGTAAAGACATGAAGCTGCCAAGTAGTATATACTAAGGCACTTGGATAAGCGACACTTGGATACTGCATTTGAATCTCAACAGTATGCACAATGCACATACTAAGGTAAAACCAACTGAGCAACGTAGTTGATCATGAGTTTGACTTGCTTCAACTCAAAATATCACCTGCCCACAACTTCAATCCAGCCTAGTACTCTTCCTATACTTTCTGCAGCCATAGTCACCAAAGACGGTGAAAGTTTTTAACTCAACCCTTCGATTGGACCCAACTGTGACAGTGCTTTTGATATCTGTGCTCTCCCTCTTTCACCTCAGAATCAAATCCAGATTCAATCGGTCGACACGAAATACCCCCGTATCTCGTATCTAAGATCTCACAGACATATATAACCTCTCCGAGTCAATGTATATCTACTTGGCCAAGTCGGAATTCAGGCTCACAAATCGACAGTACTAAGTTTTAACATAGCAAACATCATGCCAATTTTCTACGATAAGATAAATGCAAAAAAAAATGCTATGTATAACAAACCGTTCAAAAAAAAAATCCTATCATATGTATGCAACAAAACACAACAAAACTCAGCCTATGCACTGCTCCTTCTCTCTCTCTCCCTCTACACCTTCTCAAACAACTTCCTACTGAACCCCAGCCTCACCGGCACCAAAATCAACGAAGACACCATCGGCACTAACCCAGCCCACACGATCAAAAACTTGTACGCCTCGACATTATCTATCGTGACGCCTGCACTCCTCGCTGTGGCAGCAATTATCTGGGACCCAATTGGCGCAGCGAATATCGGGGGAAGGACATTCGTGAGGAACTGGATGGCGACTGCTGAGCCGAGTTTTTCGAGGCCGACGATTTTGGCGGAGGCGGGGACGGAGAGGGCCCAGTATGCTGTTTTGTTGTGGACAAAAGCGGAGGAAGAAAAAACGGAAGAAAAAAGCGGAGAAAAAAGACGGAAGAAAAAAGATAGGAGCAGTGGCGGGCGGAAGGAAAAAAGTCGAAATCAAAATCAAAACAACAGTTAGCACGAATTCAATATGGGATGAGATGGATACGTACCACCGCTGAAAAATCCCCAAAACACAGCAAACACCATCATCACCCCCAGACTCTTCGCAAATATCCATATAATAAGACACATCAGGCCCGAAAAAAAGTTGAACACGATGAGAACGTTGATAGTTCCTCCTTTATCCGCTATCATCCCAGCCATGATTCGTCCAAGGGAGTTGACCGCAGAGGTAACAGATAAAACAGCCGAGGCATTTACAGGGGTTACGCCTATCGTCGCACAATAACCTGTTCAAGTTCAGATAAGAATAAATAATCAGTTACGCCGATTTTTGGACAGGAGCTATGGTGACACCAACTTACTCGGAATAAAGAACAGCGGCGTCACATATCCAAACAGCTGCAAAAACGCGAAAGCGAGGTATAGAGGGTATCCAGGAATCTTAAAGAGACTAGGGTCGAAAGGTCTGTACTGCACGATTTTCTTGGTCGCGACGCGTTGGCGGATACAGCAGATAGCTACGATACCGAGTGCGAGACTGAGGAACCCGAGGATTCGGAGGGCCCAGCGGATGCCGAGGTGGTCGATGGAGGCTTGGACGACAGGGGAGAGAATGACGGCGCCTGCACAGGCTCCTGACTGGAAGAGAAAGAATACGGTAGGATGGATTGATTAGATATATCTGTATCACGAAAAAGTAGCGAGGACGTACACTAGCAATACCTGTAGCGAGAGCTCTTTTCTTTTTGAACCACTGCGAAGGAAGGCCGATGGCAGGTATGTACGCGAAAGAACCACCAATACTGTCGTTAAAAGTTATTGGGATTAGGATTCCAAATACGATAACACAACAATGAAAAAACTCTTACCCAAACATAATCCCCTGCGACAGCAACAGCTCCCAATACGTCTTCGCAATCGATCCCAACATCAACGCAACCACTATAATCCCAACCCCCAAAATAATCGGGGAATGAATCCCAAACTTCGAAATGAGAATGTTCGAGAACGGCCCTATTATAAACGCGAACCCAACGCTGCAGCCGCCGACAAATCCGATTTTGAATGTGCTGTCTTGCTGGAACCGGGAGGACGGGTCGGTGGCGTAGGCACTTTGGAAGATGCCCCATACGTTTCCTGGGCCTAGGGATACGAAAGCGAGGAGGAAGACAGCAAGAACAGTGAGCCATGCGTCCAAGCCGCCTTCGGGAAGCTCATCGGGGTCAGGAAGAGGGGTATTGTGCTCGTCGGTGAGACTTTCGAGGGCTCTGTCGCTCACGGTAGACGATGGCTGCTTCTCTGCAGGAAACGTATTTTGCTGTGAAGGAATGTCGTCCGAAGCGTACGGTTGCTTCTCAGATTGCGGGAGAGCGGTGTCGTCTGCAACGGACGGTTGCTTCTCCGACATGGTGGACGTAGGAGTTTGAGAAGGGAAGAGGGAAAGAGACTCGGGCAACCTGCAACAAAACCGGATAGATGATATCGTCACACGGAATACATTTGTAATGGTAAGCTGACAGTTCCATTCAACGCCTGTTGTACCTTTTGATGAATGCCTAATAACTCCTTCGGAGTTGAAGAATCAGCGAAGAACTCGTAACTCTGAAGAGACAGATTGGTTTCAAACAGTTAAGAAACTTCGCTCTGCATTTTTCTGGATTTTTAAAGATTTTATTTGTTGAATCGGGCATTGTCCGAAGCAACTTAGGGGGTGAGACCAGTTGCATGAGTTGATTCCATACCGAGGACTTCGGTACGATGCCGGCGGAACATTGGGCGGCGAATGTTTAGGAGGGTCAAAGTAAGGCCTGGAGAAGGAGATGTTGTAATAATGTCGCTCTAGTGCGGCCTTGGTCAAGGACACAGAAATCGGCCGAGGGGGAGCTGACGCGGGTATGGTGCTTTATCTTTCTTCCGGTGTAGATCTTTCACCCGAAAGTTCCGTCCACCTGTCAAAGTCTATTACTTCTATTACTTCAACCCAGGCTTCGAACGTTCGCTTCAGGATCCCCAATCACTGTTTGGTTTCTTGCGCTAGTGGTGTTCCAAAGGTTAGAGGCCTTGGTACGTGTTAAATAGGTTGTAAATAGGCTGTAAAAACCCATTACATTATATAAAATTGGGTTGTATTGTTGGACATTGTTTAAATATCATTGCGATGATCTCGAGACCTCCATCACGATGTAAATCTTTGATCGTGGCGGGCAGCGGCTCGGCGGGGGTAAGCTGTAAGTACGACGCCAAGCCAAGACGACTCGACACGAGTCCAGGACCACAACTGTACACTGCTGACGTCATATCATTGATACTGCGGTTTGATTTATACATAACTTGGACGCACCACAGCGACTCCAAGTCGGACGTTTCAAAGCGCCTGCAAATCCCACTTGGAGCTCTTTTATATATTATTTGGCTTGGAGAATCTCATAACTGAATCGTACTATCCCGTCTTGTTTTCATGCACCAAGTAGCTCAGTTGGGTCGAGCGTTACGCGTAACTAGTACTGCTAATACTTAACCGCGAGACTTGGGTTCGATCCCCAGACTGGTCATGGATCCATATGTGTTCAGCATTCTTTTGCACATTTTGTGACTTGATAGTCCAATGTGCAACTGTTCTGCGGGTACTTCTCTTCTAGCTATACCAGTGGATGATGTATTGTATGTTACTAACACTGTGGAGAGCGCATCTTTCAACTTTGTAACACTGTACTACTTGTATGCAGTATGATTATTGTTGAGGTAGTACTAGCTTCTCATTAAAATCATAATCCATTTCTCTTTCGAGACTAAGTCAGTTGGTTGGAGCGTGCTCACGATCAACAAACGTGAATTTTGGGTTCGATCTCCACATAGGTCATACACGTAACACAGCTCAAGCCGTTCGTGAATGCGATCTTTCAATTCTTTTTCTCATATTTGTGACTTGATAGTCCAAGCTGGTACTCCTATCGATGCTAATGGGGATTCCGACCGCGACAACCTGAGGAATAACTGAATCATCTTCGTCTTTAAATTCATGACCAACTGGCTCAGCTGGTTTGAGCGTGCTTCACCGGTAATAAACGCAAAGCTTGGGTTCGATTCCCACGTTGGTACTCAGGTCACGATGTTGATATTCTTTTTTTCCGTTTATTCCGCAGTACTACAGGTTGCGACTTCAGTGCTAGTCCGGGGTGGCACTGTTTGGGTTGCGCCGAAGAGTCTGAAGCAAGGACTCCCAGATTCGAGTCCATATCTTCAACAATGTGGAATCATAACTGCACTTGTATGAAGCCGGGCCTGCACACACAACGCCAACCAGTGCTCCACTGCTCCGGCGCTGCTCTGCACTGAGGAGTGAGGAGTCTCTTAATTAATTGAAGAATTGTCGGAATCAGACCGACTAGCTCAGTTGATCACTGCTAATAAACGCAACTCTTGGGCTCAATTCCCCACGTTCCCACAGATTACTGTGGTTTGTGTCCTCGAGATTCTTTTTCGTATTTTACCGGTTTTACAACTTAGTACTACTTACAAGGGGGATTTCAGTACTCGCTACTCTGATTGTAATATATACGACACAAGTTGATGAGGAGGAGATGTATCCATCGCACTTGTATGAAGATTGCAACAGCGTGAGGCATCTGATAACAACTTGAACAGAGCAAGCTGGAGCACGCTTCATTGCGAAACTTCGATACTCACATTGGTCATGCTACTAACTTCCCTGGTTGGTCTTTCTAAGACTATATATATATTATGTTGACATGGAGAGATACCTCTTCACATGGCCTAAGACTGTGACAGCCCTGGAGGTAAGTATCTGTAGTATCTCATAAAAATCATATTTCTTCTTGGTTTTGCATGGCCAGGTAGCTCAGTTGGTTGGGGCGTAGTTACTGCGCGAGTCTTGGGTTCGTTCCCCATGTTGGTCACTAATCGTCACGGTTCGAGCGGACTCAGTGTGTCTACAATTCTTTTCCGCGTTTTATCATATCTGCCATGACCTAGTATACATAGTGCCTGGGCCCTACTAGAGGTTACGCTAATGGCGATATGCCACTGATACATAGTATGATAGCATGGGGAGACACCTCTTCACATACCCCACTGGACAAGATATATGAACACTGTTAGACGCTGACTTAGCGCCTTAGGCCTATGACGAATATAGAACTTGATTCCTAATCGAGATACTTATATTACCAACCTGGTTCAGAGAGGAGCCTCTAACGACTCTCTCTCTGTACCAGGTATGTTGACTATATTCACATCTTACATTATACTTTACTTATCTTAACGACTCTCTCTCTGTACCAGAATACACCTGCTATAAACCTCATCACTCTTAAGAAACACTGCTCAATTAAAGTAAAGCATCTCATAATTAAATCATAATCCGTGATTCTATTTTCATGGCCAAGTGGCTCAGCTGGTTGGAGTGTGCTCACTGCTACTAAGCACAAGTCTTGGGTTCGATTCCCAGCTGGTCCTTTTAAGCGCCGAATTGAAGTTGGTTCAATAGAATTCTTTTTCACTTGTATCTGCCCTACAGGGTATGCCTAAAGCGGTTGATGTTAAAAATCAAGGAACCTTGCTCTAGCTTCACCCCCTGCTGGTCCTTGTTGCTGGTGAGTTGGTTTGATAGAATTCTCTTCCACTCATATCTGGGCCCTGGCGTACAGGGTAGGCCTGAAGCAGTCCCATCTAGGGGGATTCTAGAGCGAGGTTTCTTGGTTTTCAATATCAACCCTCTATTACTGGGTACTTAGGCGACTAGCTAATCCAACAGTACCAATACATAACATGTTAATATAGAGAGAATATAGAGAGACACCTCTTTACATGCGCTACTGCACATAAGGCTGCCTAAGCTATCTCATAAGAATCATATATCTTCTTGGTTTTTCAAGACCAAATAGCTCAGTTGGTTTGGGAGCATGTTTACTTGGGTTCGATCCCCAATTGGTCATCACAATCCATCGTATATATATTGGAATTCTTTTTTTGTACTAGTAGTACTTTGAAGGTGGGATTTGGATACAATTAGGCTCTAGCTACTCTAAATAGTGATAATTTGTAGTATGTTGACGTAGGGAGATCTACCCAATGCACCTGCCACTTGGATGAAGACAGCAACAGCCTCATCATGATAGTACGTCCTATTTTCATGGCCAACTAGCTCAGTTAGATGGAGTGTGCTCACGGCTAATTATTGGGTTCGATTAAGTACCACGTTGGCTATCTTCTATTTGGCCGGTTATCCATTACTCCATTTCTTTTTTTAATTTGCAACTAATACCCTATACGTAGTATGAGTCACTCTAGCCGACGTTCTTGGAGGGAGTCGTTCATTCTGTTTCGCAGGCATAAGTATGATATATAACTCATCGTGGGACATTGTCGTTTGAGTCGTGCGTAGTCTACGCTGACAAGGTAATTGAAAGCCCACAACTTGAGATGTAAGTTGAACACAGGGTTGAGTTCATAGCGTAGGGAGGGAAGAACTACAATTGATGGTTATTTGCATACTCGTACGGATCGATTTACAGCTAGTGAATATCTTCTTTCAGCTTTTTCGTTTATCCTACGTTCAAGCAATGATCTGAACGTTGGTCAAGTCATAGAAGGCAACGGTGGAGCCTAATTTGGCGTAGACTCCAGCACGAGTCTCGTTGGAGGTCGGGGTCTGCTTGGGGCCAAGCCTGAACGCAACAAGCTCCCACCCTTCGGTGTTCCTGCTCCAATCATCAGATTGACCGGCATTCAAGGTGAACCACTCGTCGCTGCCACCACTGTTGTAGTTACTGACGAAAACGTCAACTGTTTTAGAAGACCTGTTTTCAACGTGCATTTTGACCATCTGCGGGTTGAATAAATTGGCGAAGGGTACATAGGAAATGAAATTGTTCTCACTTTGACTTGATGATGTTTGAGAGAGGCGCAAAATAATTCTGGTTTCAAGCGAGTGCTGCTAGAGGTTTATCAGAGAGAGGAGGGATTGTCAGGAGTAGCGACTCACTAAGAATTGATGTGAAGTGGATGATGGGGAAGAATGCGATCTACAAAGGTGTTTTATATGACCGCAATAATAAAATGAAAGTTTACTGTGTGTAGCATACTCGAACATGCAATGGCAATCGATGTAGCTTCCATCCATAATAAGTAATCACATTGGAGCATTCAATCAATGTGAAGTACCCCGTTTAATGAGGAGGGGTATCATCTTGCGTAAGGGCATATAGTACGAAGTTGTCCTGTGGCACCTGCAGCTTCTATCCATAACAAGCAGTATTCAATCGATATGAAATGCCCCATTTTAACCATTCTGAGCCCCAGAATCTGAGGGGCATTTTTCTTATGGCCCCACATCTGGGATCAAGTATCATGTATAGTTAGGACAAGGGGGATCTCGTAAGTAATATCCTGCGTGAACGGATGTGGTCTAAATATCTCCACATGGAAAATTCTCCTACCTTTACAGTGCCCCATACATACCAATTTGCAAGACAATCAAGGATTCAGGCTTCTTGCCATCTTGGCATCGGACATTAATCATTGAAAAGTCTTTCTAATTTCGACTTCATATGGCCACTGTAGAGTTACTATACTTAACTAGTATTGGCGTGCCGTGTAATGGTTTTATTGATCATCGAACAGGTCGGGTGGAGATGGATGCCAAAAATTAAAGCCTTCCAAGCCATGTCTTCAACAAGGTTCATCGATCATTCGGGTTCAATAATACTTAATACTGGATAGGGCTGGGATAGGGATGCCAAGATGATAGATCCTTACTACCAGCTGGTAAATCTGACAAGCTCCGACTCCAGTGCCAATTTTCTTGTAGACGGAGAGTGTTTGTGCCCGCCAAGTGCCTGACTCTTGAAGCATTTGGTGACTATGATGTTCCCCAAGTCAATTCTTGTCTTCTGTAATGAGGCCAGATTGGATTGAGAATCAAGGTGGCCTTAGAGAGTCGTACCCCATAATCCTTTATGAATCGGGCATTCAACACATCGGTTGAATACTGGGATGCGCAAGGGATGCGGCTGCACTTAATATGGATGGAAGGTGCAGGCATATAGAGGGCATTTCTGAAAGATTATATCTTAGAATACTCGAATGCAGTGACTGCAATTATCATGAATGGCAGCTGCAGGCATTGCCCTATTCGAAGCATTCTGGGGTACAATTCACTCTGTAAGGGCCAGCCGCCATCTTGCTTCTCGATTGTTTCTGGCTCCACTGTTGGATATCAGCAGATATCAGTATCATTGTTATGATTGATCAAGCTCATAGTTATCTCACACTCATTATTGACACGAACTTACACGTACTTATTTCCTATCACCCCCATTACCAGTATATAAGCAGTAGCTAGATATACGCTACCTCATCCGATTCCCCCTCTCTCAGTGCTGTAGGGGGCAAACAGAATATATTGTGCTTTTCACTCTATTCTGCCGTTGTGCTATATATTATCCCGAGTGGTAATATTGTGTTCTATTTTATTATCCAACATCCACTGTTGCAGATTCTGATGCAGAAGACAAGAATTGACTTGGGGAACATCATACTCACCAAATTCTTAGTAGACAGGCAGGCAACAGGCAGGCATATGGCAGACTCTTCGTCTACAAGAGAAATGACTGGAGTCGGATTCACTAGTTGATCAACCGCTGATAGTATGGATCTATCATCTTAGCACCCCTATCCATTGAGCCCGTTTAAGAATCGACGAACCATAGTGTTGAACCAAGTGTTGAACACATGACTTGGAATTGGCAAGCTTTGATTTTGACCTTCGGTTTGATTATCGATGAGCGGCACGCCAAGAGTAATACTTCACATCAAGTCTTAGTGAGTCGCTACTTCTGTTCCTCCCTCCTCTCTCTGACAAACCTCTAGCTGCACTTGCTTAGAACCAGAATTATTCTCCCCCTCTCCCAAACATCAAGTCAAAGTGAGAAAAATTTCATTTCCTATGTGCCCTTCACCAATTTATTCAACTTGCAGATGGTCAAAATGCACGTTGAAAACAGGTCTTCTAAGTCAGTCGACGTTTTCGTCAGTAACTACAACAGTGGTGGCAGTGACAGTTGGTACACCATTAAACCTGGGCAATCCGACGATTGGAGCAGGGACACCGAAGGGTGGGAGCTTGTTGCGTTCAGGCTTGGCCCCAAGCAGACCCCGACCTCCAACGAGACTCGTGCTGGAGTCTACGCCAAATTAGGCTCCACCGTTGCATTCTACGACTTGACCAACGTTCAGATCATTGCTTGAACATAGTACATAGGATAAACACGAAAGCTGAAAGGAGATATCATATCTGTAAACCAATCTATGCGAGTAAAATCAAATCATCAATTGTAGTTCTTCCCTTCCCAGACCAAGTCCCCGACTGTGAACTCTAAAAAATTAAAAAATTAAAAAAGAATCTTTCGGTGAAAGAAAAAATGCGTAGAAGCATCGCATGGCGAGGATGAGTAGTGACAATATACGGAAAGATAGTAACTGATTAGTAGAGGAGATTTTGAACCAGTCTAATTCGATTTCAGAGAACTAATAATGGAACATGCACTACAGCAAGTACAGATCCGAGCCAGTAAGGTACCTGAACATATACGCATATACACACCATGTCCCTTCGTGATATGCCCGTGCCTTCGTGTCTCCTATGATGCCGATATCCCACCATAGTGTCGAGATACATATCCACCAGATAAACGACCGTCCCCTCGTCGCCACACCACACCAGTCAAAGTCAACTATCCTAACCCCCTCCCCGGAGCAGGAGCACATTAGGCCGCCGCTAATCCCCCAACCAGTCCATTCTCGTGCAACGTAGTCACCACAATCAATACCCGCATCTACCATTGTCTAGCGTTCATGAGGCACATAACCCATGACAACTACATAAAATCCTGAGCGCAGGAACGACGTCGCTGAAGAAGAGCTCCGATGCTTTGGGCGGTTGGAGCGACGCGAGGAGATGGTGTGCGTGGGTGCAATACCTGTGTGTGTGAATTTGACGACAGAAGTCTCAGAGTGAGTATTGCCGTTAGATGTAATGCGAGCGCGGAAGAGGGCTTTGTCAGGGTGGTTAGGGACAATGCGGTCAATGTACTCCAGTCCGTCTGCGGCAAATGACGCAAATGCTAGCCCAATGCCTTCAGAGGAGGGGATGGAGGACGAGGGGGAAATGGAGACGGAGAAAGGGCGGCATAGAACGGCCGAAGATCCTCCAAGTAGAGCCGAAGGGCTTGAAATATCCACGCGACAACGCAAAATGGCTTCTTCAAACGTGAACGGCCAGCTACGTTAGAACGGGGCCCAATAAACTCATACGATACGAGCCTTCCGCTGATAAAACTTGAACTATCGCCAACTCAGCGCTAGAGACTGTCAAGTTGGGACCGTCAATGCTGACGAGGAATGCTGGGCAACATGTTGCTTCTATAAGGGGAGTGTACCAGAACTAACGATAGTTGGTGGAGTCTGTAAGGGAGGTAAGAGCATGATCAAGCAACTCATGCGAAAAGTCGATGTTCTCGAGGGAAGTGATAACGAGCCTTAGAATTTGTTGAATTTGTTGAATACTGAGATCACGATGGGGGGGAGGCCTGAGTGACAGAGGTCGATGTACATCACATCTGGTCTACCCTTAATGGTATCGAGGAGAGCCTTGACCTGCACTTTGGTAGAGGGTGCAGGTGAGTCCCGACGGCGTGTCGCGTCCTCAAGTTGTTCACGGTCTGCTTTATACATGAGTAATTAATGCACATACGGGTGTAAGGGATATCGATACGCACTATAATGAGGCTGTGATTTCACACCACAACTCTTCAGCAGGGACTTGTTCAAGTCTAGGAGTTGGAGTAGTTTGAAAGTTGTAGAATCTGGATGTTCTTCAAGAACGATGCATCGTGCAAATTTCAACACGACATCGCAAAAACTAAACAGGGAGTCGGGATCGTGGATAGACGGGGAAAGTCAGCTGATGTCCAACCTAGGCTAGAACGAGCTCTCCATGCATATAGTTGTGCGTCAAAGGCACAATAGGATTCGAATTGCTATCGTCAATCCGCAATGGAAAGGCAATAGGCGCTCATAATAAGAGTGTCTAACCTTCAACTTGGTATCATAGTCCCGCCTCAAAAGCTTTCTACTAATCCGTGGAAGGACACTGGTCAACTGACCTCAGCAGACCACACAACTCAGCGTCTCTATCTTTTTAGCCGGCATATTCTTCGGCGCTCTTTTCACCAGTTTGTCCGACTGTCGATCATCGCTAGATGTTTTATCATCCAAATATGTCGTACCTCCGACAGAAATCACTGGTAGACTCATAGCTAGTATCGGTCCCAGCTATTACCATCTTCTACATGTAGTCTTCGATAAGTCCGGGGCTTTGGCTCCTATGTTGACATCGCCACTGAAAAACGTACCGTAACTGTATGCAACTTGCTCCTCCCTACGGGTCTTTTCATTCCCCCCAAGTCACCCAATACCTTACCAAAAGGGCCCGACGTGTCATTATGAGGCTTAGAGGTCCCAGTGAGCCTCGGATTTCCTGACTTTTCGAGGACAAAACAGCGGAGATTCTAGCCAAGCGCAAGTGGACTTTTCCAGTTTACCCGTACCACAAGGATGTTACATTTCGACTCCACTCTACTCCGTTTTCTGTTTGGACAATGGAGCGCTTCCAGCGTCGGCTTCTTCTAGATCGTCGGTGCCGTCGGTGCTTGGGCAGTACGTGAGTTCCTTCTCTTTCTTACTTTTTTCATTTGTATTTACTCATTTGGTCTACTTAGAAACACACTGTCAATCCGTCAATAACACCACCTTTACCAACTGTATCCCAGCAGTCATCGCTTCAACGTCGAAGTTGCCTTTCATCGCCTTCTACGTCCTCTCCTCTGCCTCCACCCAGGGCCCCGGCGCCTGGGCCATAATTACCAGCCCCCATCCGATCTCGCGGCGTCGCACTGGCTGCGGAAGCCTATTAATTCTGATCATCCCGTTCGTGGTTGCCGCCGACAAAGATAACCTCCACCGCGAATGTCTTGTGGGTGGCGTGTACTGCTTAATCTACGCGTACTTCCTCATTCCCGAGACCAAGGGTCCCAGATGATACTGGAGACTAGCCCAAGGACGAGTGCGGGGTGGGTACCGGCAAAGACAGAAGTTTGAATGATACGTTTTCTCTTTTTTCTTTTTTTTGGTTACATACCCGCCTGTCTTGTTGTTGTATTTCGATTGTTGTATTGATGGACGAATATCTTTTGTACGGGTTTTGCATGACCAACTAGCCCAGTTGGTTGGGGCGTTAGTTACTGCTAACAAATGCGAGTCTTGGGTTCGTTCACTAATTGTTGCCAAGGGTGTGTCTGTAATTCTTTTTCGCATTTTATCATCTCTCCAAGGTAAGAACTACTAGAGGCTACGTTAATGGTAATACATACTAATATGATAATGTGGAGAGACACCTCTTTCGGAGTCTTCACATGCCCCACTTTACAAGTTATATGAAGACTGCAACAGCCTCAGGCAGCCCATAATTAAATCATAGTCCGTGGACCAGGTGGCTCAGCTGGTTGAAGCGCGCTCACTGCTACCAGCACGAACCTTGGGTTCAATCCCCAGTTGGTCATTCATGGTCATCGATCGATAGATAAAGTTCTTTCTCGCATCATATTGTGACTTTTAAGCCAAGGTACTTAGGTGCGACTAGCTAATCTAATGGTAATACGCACGCCTCTTCACGTCACGCAAACTGCCTGAGCTAAGTATCTCATAAGAATCATATTTATTCATTGCTTTTCAAGACCAGCTAGCTCAGTTGGTTTGGGAGCATGCTCACTGTTACTCAACGCAAAACTTGGGTTCGATCCCCATTTGGTCATTACACATTGTTGAAATTCGTTTTTGCACTTTATCATACTTGCAACTTGGTAGTACTAGTACTTACTATGTAAAGGTGGGGTTTGGGTGGTACGGCTGGGCTCTGACTACTTCAAGTAGTGATAATTTGTTTGTAGTACTGATGTAGAGAGATGTACCCAATGCACTTGGATGAGAACTGCAACAGCCTCATAATTAAATCATAATCTGTTATATTTTCATGTCCAAGTGGCTCAGTTGGCTGGAGTGTGCTCACGGCTAATAAAGGCGAAGCTTGGGTTCGATTCCCACGTTGGTTATACCATCTAGCGATACTTTTCTCTTTTATTTGCGGCTTGCTCATTCAAACCGGGACTATTTGAGCGACCAAGTATTCTAACCATGCCACTCACATGGTAGGCCTTATCGTTTAATTGTCCAAGTCTTCAGCTTGCAACTACATACTTATATATCATACACACGTATATAATAAAGCAGACACATAAAGAAACACATAAACTACGCTACGTACCTACTACACACACCGAACCCCTCTCAGATAAACACCTGCAACGGATGCTTATCATAAACATTCTTCCCCTCACTCAACTCGCCCAAATCCGGATAGAACGGCACCAGCGAATCCTGCGCCCCAAGATACAACGCGTTATACACTCGCCAATACACCTCGCGTACCTTCCTCGCCGGATGGAATAACCCTTGCAAGACATAACTCAGCAGCACCCCAGGCCCAAGCGTCACCCGCATCGCCTCGATCGCATCCATAACCGCACCAATAACATGCGGGGAGGTCTCGAAACAGTTCGGCCAGACGAGATTCATCAGGTGCAGCATCGAGTCTTCGCACCCCAGGCCGGCGACCCCAAGCGCCAGATGTTTCACGATGGTGCTGGCAGTCTGGCGATGCACGAGATCCCGGTCGGTTAGTGCGTCTTCCAGCATGGTCACGACTGAATCGCAGTAATACGCGGATTGAGGCCCTACGTATTCGAATACGAAGGAGAGCGCTTTCAGACAACCGGTGCGGACGTTGAGTTCTGCGGTACGGTATTCATTGAGGATGGCGGGTATGCAGGTGAAGGCTGTATACATGAGAAAAAAAAAACTGTCAGCAACAATGTAAAATTAAAGATTATAGTGACGACCACTCACGTCCACATGTTTCCGCAACGATGGCGATAGCCACCGTACTACACACTCGACTCTGACGATCCTGAACCCGGAGATTGGTGAGCAGAACCGAAAGCACATCCTGAGGACCCAAACTCTTCGCGATATAACCGAAAGAGTTCACCGCAGCACGGCGAATACCCTTCTTGTGCGCTTTCAGCAGGTCGAGCAATTCGAAACAGATTCGCATCCATTCACGGGCCGGGACAAATTCGGCACCACGATCTGCGATACGCCCAATCAAGTTGATGGACGCTTCTTGGACTTTTTCGTGTCGGTTACGAAGGATAGGCGTCATACGGGGCACTACGAGTAAAAGAAAATGTTCAGCGCGGAAAAAATTTGGAATGTAAACGGAAAAACTCACGAAGATCTTTAACAGGAGGGTTCATCTGCGTCATACCAACAACATTCGCAATGGCACCCTCAGCCGCAATGATACTTCCAAGCGTATCAGGATACTCCTCACCCAACTGCTCAAACAACACCAACCCAAGCTTGCTAAGCAGCTGGTCCTCCCCACACTGCTTGATGACAACAGCCAACCGAGTCGTCAAATCAGCAGCCTGCTGACGAACCTTAGCGCTCTTATTGTTCAGTCGCCAAAGAATAGTCGACACAATCTGAGTGAGGTATGGCTTCACGCGAATTCCAAGCGCATTGACAACAGTTCCGAACCCATCCAACATAACTTGGTCCTCCGTCGTCTGCTCCTGGAAAGAATAAATGATCCCATCCACCAGCCTCACTTCGAGTCGCTCGTCAATATCCGACGCACCAAGCGTAGCGACGACTTTGGTGATGGTTTCCATAACCATCTTTCGGTACGGCTCAGCCTCGTCCTTGAGCTCGTTAACGATCCGACCAACGATCTCAGAAACACCGACTTTTTGAGCCAGCTCGACAGTGGTTTCGACGACCTGTCTGTAATTTCTCCTGTCGAGTGCCATTCGTCGAACCCAGAAGGATTTGAAAAAGTCGGGAAGGATATCGTGCTTGATGTAACCAGGGGTAACACCCTCAGTGGCAGCGCACTGTTTTACGACTTTGAGCACGATCTTCTTCATTTCCTCGTCCGAGGTTTGGAATTCTCGGATGAGGATGACGGTGACTTCTGTGGTGTAGTAGGATGCGTATTCGGGATCCATGAGGGGAATAATGAAACCAATGGCTTTAAGAAAAGCAGCGAGACCTTTTCCGCGGTGCAGACGGATACCCAACCAGAGGGGTTTGAGCACATTGTCGAAGGATTCGATACCGTAGGGAGCTGCTGCCTCTGCGAGAGCAGCCAAACCGAGGGCGGTCATTGTTCTGACCTTTTGCTGTTCGTCGGAAAGACCATGTGCGATACAGTCAACGAGATTGCGGAGGTGGGGGAGGACGGCGCAGCCCATCATGATAGCGATTTGCTGGACGATACGGATACCGGTGTGGCGAGCCTGCCACGATTTCTTCGATCGACAGACGGCTTTCAAGAAGGGAAGGAGGGAGGGAATACCTAGAGCAGAAGCTACGACGGAGAAGGCACGGGCAGTAGTATTACGCACGTACTCGTCTGCGTGGTCGATATCAGGACGCATGGTGGAGATCATGTGTGCCAGACCTGCGGCTTTGGAAAGGTTGGAGATGATTTCACGACCTTCAACTCGAGCATAGTAGTCCTCGTCAATGAGAAGAGGTTCAATGACCACGAGAATTTTGTGGACATAAGGACGGACGAGGTCATCGAGTTTGTACAAGACGCGGTCGATTACCTTGACGAGAAGATGACGCTCCTGGTCCTCGAGGGTACGTTCCATGAGAAGGGGGAGAATCTTGTCAAAGAGCGGTCCAGCACCAAATTCGCGGCCTTGTCGGTAATCTGCCTCAGAGCAGTTTTACGGACTGGTGGAGTACCGTTCTTGATCTTCAGAAGGAGACGCATAATCTTCCTCTCCTTCATCTCATCGACAGAAAGCTCGGTCTCGTCCTCTTCCTTCATGATTTTGGCGAAATACTGGGCGTCCTCTGCTTTGAAAAAGGCAAGGGTTCCGACCCCAGGAATCTCAGTAGGAAGTTCTGGAGCAAGGCCGGCAGCAGCGGCGACGGCGGCAGCGTCTGAGCTTTCCTGAATGTGGAAGCCGCCAACCTCTGTTACGGACGGGGCTTGGAGTTTTCGAGGCTGGACCATAGGAGCATAGCCTGGGGGAGGCGTAACGACGACATAACCAGTGGGTGGAAGAATAGCGTCGAGCTCTTCGTCGGTAAGATAACGATTGTGTTTATCGTCCTGGGAGATACCTGGGGCGTTCATGATGATGGGGACCATAGGAGTGTCCTGCACAGCGGGAGTCTGATCCCATCGAGAGCGTTTAGGTGTCTCTGCCTCCGCAGGAGTACTATCCCATCGAGAGCGCCTTTTTTTGGGCGCAGAGGCCTCGAGCGCTTCCTTGGACCATTCTCCGGTATCAGCCTTGTTTGGATCAGCATTTTCATCGGAAGGCTCAGGGACGTCCCAACGCCGTTTACGCTTGGTTCCTGACGTGGCAAGTTCCTTTGCTGCGGCCAATTCCATCTCCACGTCTTGGAGTTCGGCGGCAGGCGGTGTCTTGTCCAAATCCATTTTCAGCTTTCCTTCTTCTCTTTCCAGCCTTTCCTTTTCCTCGATAGCCCTTTTTACTCGAACTTCTTCCTGCTCCAGCCTAGCCAGCCTCATTGCATCTTTGTACCCTCCTTCGTCGGTTCCACCTTCTTGGAAAGCATCTGCGCTTTCGACGGCGACTCGGTCGAAGCGACGGTTATGATAGTCAGACTGGCGAGCGGCGACCTGACGAGTCTTTGCGGTTTCGGCAAATGGGTCGACATCTTCTTCTTCGGCAAGCTCAGCAAATTCTTGCAAGATTTCCTTTGGGACTGTATACGAGTCTATCAATCTGGGTGACCCGGGAGGAGACATTATACCTATGACCGGGGTGAGTTTAAAATGGCTGAAGGAGATTGAGTTTATGCACCTCTTTGAACCAAAGGTGAAAGATGGAGGAGCAAAGACAAGTCACGATTTGCTCTCGGAAGCGCTGAGTAAGCGATGTCGATGGGCGCTAATGCGCTAACGACTCGCCAGCCAACGAATTGAACAAAAGTTCCAACTCCTGCTAATCTCTGGCTTATCCTGTAAACGCGTGAACTGTCATTCACGTATATTCGAATGAATCAACCCAAGCTTACAATAAACATGTTTTCGAAGATCCTTCCCTACTAACAGTCTTCACGTTTGGGAAAGCTACCTTTCGCTACTCTTCGTCTTAACTCGCGCGGCGGCGCGACAACTGGAATCGACTCAACTAACACCATCTTTCACATCCATGTATCCTACAGTTTGTGCTGACGAAAGCTAGTTATTTTCTGTCGGTCATCTCGCTGGTTGCTCGCCATAACAATGATCTGTTGTTCCATTTTTGAGCAACTCGAGGAAATCTGCGCTGGGAAGCGCGGATAATGTGCTATGGACTTCAAGCAAGTCGCGAACTCTCTAGACATTGGCACCACGACGAGATCATGGCACAGGTCATTGCACGCGGCAATGCCGAGCTGAGCGTCATGGAGTTCCTCCGAGACCAAAGCCCTACTGGCAATGCTCACCCTAAGATTCGAGGGAACCGAAGAATCAAGGAGTACTTGAAGAGGCTTGCGGTGGTGCTGTTTCTGGTCCGGGTGCCTTTGGTTGATGACTGTCCTGCAGCCTGCATCCATTCTAATTAGCATTTATTGCTATCATTCAATCGGGGCCTCTGACATCCTGGAGCAAATTGAAGCTGGAAGAGCTTGAAAGCCCGCTCCAGGGTGTAATTTTGCGGATGAGGCGATGACGAGTAAGCATCAAAAAAATAGATTCTGAGGTGAAGTTCAGCTCCCTGGCTGGGAGTCGAACCCAGCTTTCGCGCGAAATCGAGCTTATCCAACACAACGTATGGCGATGACAGGCGCGTGTACTAGCCGATATACTACCAGGGAATATATAAAAGTCACTTGTCTAACTTGAAGTACGCTCAGGCTTAGTATGTAAATCAAATCCCAACCTATCGTGTTACTGGGTCTATGAATATGGATATGGATTAGGCCCAGTTGGTATTCACCGACAGCGGTCCCGCAAAGGGACTAACCGGTCCTTATGCCAGTGCAGGCAGCGAGCTTGACTCCCATAGAGAAGGTAGACACCGACATAAGGATGGAAGCAAGGCCAGGTACACAAGTACATTGCAAGTACAAGGCTAGCTGTTACCACTACCTATGTAAAGCTCAAAGGAGCACATTCTACCCCAATCTATTGAGTTCATACCTGTGGAAGAACCCTGCATCAAGGAGTGTTTGTCGCTAACATAGGAAAGAAGTAAGCATGCCTGCTGTACTAGTAGTGCAATCTTCTAATAACGTGTCTCGACAGATGTCTCGACACCTGGATTTGATACCCTAGCGAGTGAGCTCAGTATCTCCTACAAGATACCGACGGCCGACGTTCGATTGGAGTTCATCGGGGGGAGTCTGGGAGAAAACGGGGAATATGTACAGGCTAGATGATATTGGAGGTATACATGGCCTTAGACCATCAAGTGGATTCATTGCCACTCCAGAGCGCAGAGCGTGCATTGAAGTATCTGAATCCACTCCTCGAGTATGTATATGAGCACAAAGCGCATATCAAATTAATGGGACTGTCAAGCTTTCAAGGTTAAGGTCATTCAACTCCTGCGCAACAAGTCACGTATGAATGTACATAGGCAAGGACTTTCAAGCAATCGAAGCCAGTTTATCCAAAGTCAATTTATCATCTGCTTCTGGTGTTTCTGAGAGGTAGGTCCGGCGATGGTAAAGAATATCTTGCGCACGTCCTTCCTCCCAACTTGGGCACACAGCTGTCGGTCTTTCCTGTTCCCCAGATACTTATGTCAGTCAAACACCAATGCTTGAGATCGAGATGGCATTTGGCCACAAGGGACAGGCTGAAACACATTGCCGATCCAGACATTGTAACCATGAGTCCCTCGTCCTCAACATCACCTAATATCTGAAATAAAGCTCCCATCGCGGTGACTTTCCCCATTCGGCCCAGCAACTTTGATTTCTGCTGCTTTTATAGGGGTTATATTACCTGCATCATCGGCTTCCTGAAACCACAGCTCTCGTGAGTTGCAACATGCCCTTTCTTAAAGTTACTTGTGAGTGTGGGCCATCACACACTGAGCGCGTGGCAGGTACGAGTCCTGGAAGAGACTAGGTATGAAATGCAGACTACACTCTGCAGTACATCGCAGCAGAAGGTAAGTATGTGCCTGGGCCCAATAACATATTAACATTTCTGATACTCATATTATCCAATACACTCTCCCGAGCAAGAATGAACAGCGCGATGGAAGCTGGTGACTGCTCTGGTTGAAAAGATATTGACCCACTGGAATATAAGCAGAGGCAACACAGCAGCGAATGTCCAGCAAACTGTAAGCATGGAAAGGAGCTCTTTTCGGTTGGAAAGATGCTGAAGTTCAAGGGCACTGCTATCATTCAATGGAACATGAGTGATGTCAAATGAAGGACTGATGTAGAAAGCGACATAAATTCGCAAAATTTTGGTGGTGAGCTTGGTAGGCACTATGAAAGAAAAATCAGTGCGAGGAATGCGAGGGATACCCGAATACACTCACAAGTAAAGGAAGGCATTTTGTCCGAGGTTAGAAAGGGCAGTAAATATCGAAGTTGTCGATGGAACCATTAAATACACTGAAAGAGGCAGCGCATGCACTTCAACTGCCGCTGATGAAAAGTAAAAACCCGAGGAAGTAAAGTGCGGGGGTACAAAACAGGAAGTAATGAGATATATATAAACACCGTGTGGCAAAAAAAGAATCCACTGCACTGAGAATTTGCACGTGCATGTAAGAGACAGAACTGCAGCGGCATTTAATGCAGGAAAAAATGTCAAGAGGATGGTTCAGTATCAGTCAGATGCATCGATGCGCTGGGTAAATGTGGTTGCACTGCCATGCAGTAAGCGGTAGGATGCAAATAAAGAGAGTAAGTGGCGCAACAAGGAATAACAGGCAACTGGGAGCTGCAAAAAGTGCAGTGAGAAGTGTTGAACTTGTTGTTGAGCACTGAAGGTAGATTCACAAAACCACATGACAGGCGCTTTGACATCCCAAATAAGGCGAAACGATTCTGCTTAGCTTAATTTGGATGCCATCAAAACCAATTGGGACGAAATTCCCATGCGAAACCGGCCATAAGGACGAGCCTTCATTACATTCAGGACTCGTAATTGGTCCTTGGAGGTCTTGTGGAAGTCACGTTTTCCGTTTCAGGAAAGGTCACGTGCCTCTTCCCTTGTTGCATGATGCATCCTACCTCAAGGCTCACTGAGTCCTGACTCCTGTTGCATCCATGAATTCTTCTCCTGGACCATGCAGTAAGTTATGTTTGTCTACCCAAAGACCTCATTTCACTCTCAAGGCTTCATATCTACTCTCACGAGCCTATGAAGAATCTGCATCAGGAAAAGCCGTTTTTGCCTAGGTGACCCCAGAGTGGCCTAAAGCAAACTAGGTGACCTATGAATCCTATGGCATCCTAGGAATTTGGGCTCATCCCTTGCCAGTCAAGGCTCTTGAGGATTCCCTAGGCAAGCCTAGGTTTGCCCAGGTGCTCCTGGGGAACACCAGGGAAACACCTGGGCAAACCTGGGCAAACCTAGGCTTGCCCTGGGTTTGCCTAGGATACCCTAGGGAATCCTCAAGAGCCTTGACTGGCAAGGGATGAGCCCAAATTCCTAGGATGCCACAGGATTCATAGGTCACTTAGTTTGCTTTAGGTCACTCTGGGGTCACCTAGGCAAAAACAGCTTTTCCTGGTGTGCCTTCTTTCATACCTCCTCCTAAGTATCTGTGAGTTCCGTGGCGCAGAATCTGTGTCGACACAGCTGATGCTTTATTTCTTCAATTCTAGGCCTGATGATCTCCTTGAATCTCTACCACCACCTCCTGATGCCCCACTACCTGCCAAGCTACTCTATGGTTTTTTCATTGATGAAACCTTTTGCCCCCCCGATGAAAATCCCAGCAATTATGCGCCGTACACACACAGCCAGTACCTTGGTCATATGTTTACGAGATTTTTGAGCAAGTACAAGCTAACAATGCACTGTGATTTCCTCTGGGGACATAACGGGAAACCGAATCTGGCGTGCTTTGCATATGTAAACCAAGAGGGGACGGGGATTGTTATGCCTTATCAGGCTCGTGTTCCTTTGAAGGCGTGGCTGAGGAGTATAATCAAGGAGAATTTCAATGTTGACCGGGAGCCAACATGGATGAACATGGATGAGTTTTAGAATGTCCTGCTTCACAAATGTATCTTTGGCTTCAACACTGAAGTTTGGTCAATGTTTACATATGTTTTCTCTTATCCCTTTCGGCCTTCTGCTGCTCTCATACTCTGCAGCTGCATCTTCTTTTACTGAACCCACACCACCAGAAGCTGACGTGCGCCAAATGCTCAGTGTGTCTTGTCCGAAGTCGATTTGAAAGCTTTCTAACGAATCAATTGAGCTTTGTTGCAAATGCTGCTGGTAGGAATGGTTCCGGTTGCTGTACTGTTCTGCCGCTTATCCTCTTCCTCCTTCAGTATCATTCTCACTGTAATGAAGATGACAAGGCTTGAAGGCCAGGTAATTTTGCGAACGAAGTGATGAGGAATAAGTAGCAAGTGGGGACTTTGTCAAAAATAGACTTAGGAGCCTATGTAATATCAACTTCCGGGCTGGAAGTCTAACCCACTGGCTTTTTGCGCGGGGTGACTTGATCACTTCCTCATGACAGGTGCATGCACTAACCTTTCTTGTCCAGCTTGAACTTATAGTGGTGTATCTGCATCTTTTGGCAAACTTTAGCTCTGTGCCCCATGGCATCATCATATTTAAAAGCCAACCTCAATTGTGAGTTTGCTGTGCGGTCGGGCGCAGCATTGTCGACTCCTCGCCCTACTGTTATACGACGTATTGCCTGGGGGGCATCCAACGATCTGACAGCTTTCAGTTCCCTATCTATCAGAGTAAAAGGTTGCCTTTACGACAATACTTGCTACGGTGTAGAAGTCACGGAGCTGGGTTCTGATAGAAGCGATACATGGAAAGGACTTCTTTCTGCGTCAGTATCGCCTCTATCAGATTGAACGACGGGGCAGAGCTAGCTAAACCTAAGTGATAAAGAGATTTTGTTTGGGGGCTGGTGCACATTCTGGATAGAAGCTTGAAGAGACCTTCCACACTGATTAACGTCATGACGATAGACATGGGAATATCCGAGTTCAACGTTCGACTCCCACTCCGCCAGCCCCCTTGTCTCCCGACCTCATAATCCAATCGGGAGTTGAGTTTCCTGGGTCTATCCTGCGGGAGGAGAAGATCTACATCAAATAAATTAGAGTTGACTCGACAGAGCCTGAACGTACCTGCTCCCCGGCCGAGCCTTGAACAGTACCTTTCGAGTAATATTGAGATGGTAGAAAAGATCCAGCTCAGTAATGGCAGAGAGTTCTAGGCGCCTATTCACCCTCTCCTCTCGGACTTACCTTTGTTCGTATTGTTCTACATAGCTGAGTAAGATAATCTCAGAGATACGAGCAAGGATCTGGTCCTGCAGCGGGCCACCGTAAAATTTCTCTTCCCATCACCTTATAAGGATATTGGGCGCTGGCAGGGCTGTAAATGATACGCGACTTTGGGCAGCAGGGTTTGTTGAAATCGCGCCTGCCTTTGGACTTGACCCTGAACGGAAAGCAGAAAGGCAATTTATTTACACCATGCAAGGGACAAGGAAATCCTAGAAAAAAAAACACCTCAAAGCTATAATCCCAGATGTGGTACTTGTCGTTACTAACACCAGCAAAAAAAAAGTATTCAACGAATCGAGTTTGTTTTACAATTATTGAATATATATGTGTGTGTCAAAGTAGTTCACAGTGTC